TATGCAAATTAAAATCTAAAATTATTGCATTAAGGGTGCACTATGGTAGTTATGATGGTTTCCTGAAGGAGCAAGTTGCAAGGACATATATACCTTATATTACACCAGCACATGGCTTAGACACTTTGCTACCATCCCTAACACAGCAGGCTCTAATTTTAGAATGTTCTTTACTGCTCACAGCTAAATTGTTTTTGTTATCTACTTTTCTAAAAAAATTTTGAAGGTTTTTGGTTTTGTTGTTGTTTTGGTGGGTTTTTTTATTTTTTTTATTTGCAGCATTTTAATAATCATGCTCAAGTTCATTAAGCTTTGCAGAAACTAGGAAGAGATAGGAAAACAATGAGTCATTAAAATACATGTTGGGGAGGATTAAATTCTCTATTCTGGCTGAATTGTTTCCAGGCAGTGGAGAAAGGCCAGTAAAGAAGTCTCAGAATTTTGACAAGTGTTTTCTGTGGGTTTGGGTTTTTTTCATGGTAAATACTCCTGAAATTTGACTCTGAGAATGCCAAAGTCATCTCTACTGGATGAGAGGTGCCTGTAAGGGCCTGGCATGGTCATACTGGGTGACACTGGGAGAGGTTTTGGACTGTCAGTGTGCACCGATGGTAAATGAAGGTGCATTTCTTAACTCCTGTGGGAGTCCTTGTCCCCCAAGACCAGCATTTAACTGAGCTCTTACAGCACAGCTGTTTAAAAAGGCAAAATATTCCAGTCTGGAATTTGTTTAGTGGTGTGTCAGGCCAGTAGAGATAATAATCAGAGATCATTTTCCAATAAATAGCCCCCTGTGCCTTCCCTTCTGTACACAGTTCTGTAAATGCAGAATTACAAGAAAAATGGGGTTTTGTCATGACAATTCACATGTATACTCTGCTCATTTTTGTTTCACAATAGAGCCATTACATTTATGTTACTCTCTTGAAACCCACAGGGTGTCATTTTCAAGTAGCTTTTGTATTTTGCTGTTAAATTGCATTTTATCAGTTGCTTACTTGTGGCAAAATGTGAATAGATGCTTTAAAATGACCAAATTCAGATCAGTCCTTAAGCTTCTTTTATCATTAGATATCATTCTGCAAAGCTGAGGATCTTTTAATTGCATAAAACTGAACACACAGAGCCAAGATATAAATGTGTATAAAGAAACTCATTAGGGCTACCTTTTTGTTTGGTTTTGTTTTTCCTGCAGACATGCAGAAAGAATCAGTTTAATTAGCACTGACCCAAAAGAAGCTTGAATTCAAAATCAGAGCTCTGTGTCTACTGATACTCAAGATTCTCTCTTTTAGCACATAAAATTTGGAATAAAGTCACTTTGGTTTAGATTTGAAAAGAAATACCAGTTCTGAAGTACTTGAAAAATATTTGGGTACATATTTCATCTCCTTTTTCTCTAGAATACTCCTGTTTTGTATCTCGGGTCAGCAGTCAAAGTATAGATTTTTAATTATTCAACCTAAATGAATAATCAGTTTAATTAAGGATCTCGATGATGTGTTTACGATGTGTAGTGATATAAATAGCTTATTGTAAGGGATTTTTGAAGCTTCTAGTTGACCTTAAATTTGGGGGTTATTTTTGGCAAGGAAATGCGTCTTGTGTGTGGGAGATTTAAAATCCATACAGTGTGAAAGCATTATGTCTGAAGGACCTGGGATCCTGAGAACTTCTTTTAGGATGTGCTTGTGCTTGGTCTTCCATGTGTGAATATCCAGCCAAATTCTTACTGAAATAATTTTTCATCTCAAATTCTGGGTTTAGAAACACTTTTTCTCATTGTACTTGGAATATCTGACATTTAGGATTTTTCTTTTTCTTTAGGTTTTCTGAAAGCTCTGCAAAAATATATGACCTTAATGGATTTTTTGTGCTACCCAGAGTGAGGCATATTTGGTTTTTATTCATTAATTTACACTTTATAATGCTACAGTTATGACAAGAGTGTTTTTCTGTCATTTTATAATAACTTCATGAAATCAGGCCTAGAGTAGTCAATAGAGTTTTGGGGTTCAGCCAGTTGTTGAAATAAATAACTAGTTGGTTAAATCTAGGGTTTTTTTTTTCCTTAAAAATGTCTTGTCTGAAAAAACTGTACAACCTAAACATGTAATGGTTGTCCCTAAAACCAGAAGGGTTAAAGCTATTAAATTCTGATAAAGAACATTAATGCATGGAGTTTACAGCCACCTAGTATGCAATGAAGATAATAAATTCAGGCACATGGAAATACTTCATAATACAAGGTTTATGTAGATTTCATGGTAAATTTGTCTGGGGTAATTTGTGTAAACTTGCAGAAATTATGCAAACCTCTACTGTTCACATTAACCTGTAAGTAATAGTGTATAACTTCAAAACTGGGATCGATTTAAAAATTAATTTATCTTAATGTTCAATGTGTCTTGTTGTATATTTCTTTAGATAATAAAATAATTGTTGTAAATCATGTTGTAAGATGATTCCCATTCTTTCTATTGAAAATGAAGAGCATTCCTTTCTGGAATGAATTTTTTTTTACATAACTGAAATATATTTTTATGCCTGACTTTTGTATGTATGTTCAATATTTCTTAGTCAGGTAAAGAATGAACATGACTGTAGTCGGTGCTATAATAATCACAGGAATTTAGTGATAATAATAATAATAATGGATCAAACTTTCTCATGTGTGTGCCAAAGGACTCACCTTTATTGACAGGGAGTGAGAAACTACTCGAGGGAAAATGTAGCAGCTTCCTTTTCAAAGGCTGAGCACAGGGCAGTGCTTTTTCCATCGCCCAGAACAGCCCAATTTCCAGGCTGAGCTGCACCAGCCGCCGGGGTTGGGGTTGTGATGATTTGTGCTGCTCCTCCGGGAGTCTCCAGTCGTGTGGAGGAGTGTCAGGAGTTGTGAATGATCCTCGTTCTTAACTGCTTTCCCTTGATTTGCATTTGATTCTGAGCTGTTTAACCACTGGTAGATTATTTCCATTTTCCTGGTGAATAATGCATGAGGGTATATAAGTGGATGTTCCTTGGCTGAGTGGGCTGCAGATGAGAAGTGTCAGCTCCTTTGCAGCATTAATGTGCATTTTTTTTCCCTCAGGTTAAAGCTGTAGGGAACCTAGATAAGCTTTTTTTGAGAACTCCTACAAATGCCAAAATATTGGCAGTGTTTGCTTTTCCTCTTCTTTTCCTTTTGACTACCTGTTATTTGAATGAAAAAGTCAGTTGCCAATTTCCCATTACAAGCTTATTTTCCCTGGGACTCCCCCTCAAGATTTCAATGCAACATTGTTGTACCTGCTGCTTAAACTTCCTACAAATAATCAGGAACAGCGTTTTTTATATTTTTTTTTTCTACCACTAAGGTTAACTCAGGACACTGATTCCTTCTTACACCTCCTTCTTGCTCCTTAACACTTCCCAAAGGGATAATTGGAGTATCCATTCCTGCACTAGCAAGCTTGGGACACAGATAAATGCAATTCTTGTGTATAATGTGTAATGTTTCATGGAGGAAGATGTAAACACTTTAAATGCTGTAATAATTGAAATAACACTTGGACCCACCATGATCCACTTACTAGGAAAACCTCTGCAACTTTTTTGCTTATTAATTTATTAAGGGAACTTTGAGTATCTTACTATATACTTGTTTATCCAGTACCTGGATTAGACAGAGATTTTCTTCTTTTTTTAGGTTATTGGATAAATACCCTTTGATATTCCAGATTTCTGGAAAAATTGGAGCACAACTGTTGTCCTTGTTTGCTTGTGATCAGGCTTATAAATAAAGGGTATCTGTTCAAGATCATAATTTGATCCCTAAAATATCAAAACTCTGAAACTTATGTCATGGGCTATTCTAAAGCAAATATTTAATTGGAATGGTAAATGTGAAAACTTCCAGGGATGTAGCAAACTTATCAAATACTTTGGATCGTGGTGTTTAATATGAGAGTCCTGTGGGAGAATGGCTAAAAAGAGCTTCCTAAAATAGGGAATTATGCTACTGAACAAAAGTCCCATGAAACACAACTTCTTCCAAACTCCCCAGCTGTAACAGTATCCCTGGAATTTACAGACATCCAGGTGTGAACTGTAGATGAGTGTATTGTAAAACAAAGCTTTTAAGGTAAAGTAGACATTTCAGCATAGTGAGCCTGACATTTCAGAATATGGAAGGTTGAAAGTGTGAAATTGTAGGGGTTGTGTAGAAAACAAGGCATTTGGAGTTGTGCAACTGTTTACAAAGCAGATTAATAGCTACAATAACAGAATGCCATAAATATTCAAAACCAGCCCTATAAGTATGAACCTCTTATATTATTTGAAGTGCAGACACTGAAAATTGCAGAGAAAATACTGGGCACAAATGCACGTTCTTGGGGCTGGGTTCAGATTGTGCAGGAGGAATTCTTAAAATACAACCAAAGAAACATGGAGAAGAAAAAGAAAAATCAATTTGAGGTGTGATTAAAGTTTGAAATAATTACAAAGCATGCTTTGCAAGGCATTTTCCAAAAAGATAAGTGATCTTTTTGTGATGGAGCTTCTGTGCTTCCAGTGTGTTGCTGGTGGGGGGTGGTGGTGGTGGTGTCTTGCAGAAATCGGTCCTTGGCTTGCACGTGGCACTCAAAGCACTGCAGTTAAATCAGTGTTTCTCATTGTTCCAGGTGTATTTCTACAATATTCTAGTCTTCCAAGTCCTTTGTCATCTTCCTCTGCCAGCCTAAATCATTAATGCTCTTCACTGCCTTCCAGCACCTCATTCCCATTTCCCTGTTCCATGCTCAGTGACAGGGCAGTGGAGCAGGGGAATTAAGAGGAAATGGAATTTGCTTCCTCATCTCCTCTGAGTGTTTATTTTGTCCACCTTCCAATTTTCAAACCATGCCGTTAGAAGAGCTTTGCTTACATGAACTTCTGCTTTCAAATGCTCTCCCCTTGAAATAGAATTCTGACACCTAACTTCTTTTTGATGTTGCCTTCGTTCCTTGCCCTTCTTAAAGGATCCTGCTTCCCATATCCAAGTAGAAGTCCCTGGAATCCGTTGCTGTCAGGTAAGGATTAAATCACGGTCATTTCTTCTCTTTGGGGGCAGTGGTAGAAAGGTCTGATTTGGGTGGAAAAGGAAAATCAACAAAACACAGAATATTTCAGGAGCACAGCCTTCCCATAAGGAAAGACTTCACAGACCCATCATCCGTTGTCTTGAGCTAAAGTTGGTGTAGATAAAGAGGATTTCTAGGAAGAAATTCTTTGCTGTGAGGGTGGGCAGGCCCTGGCACATGTGTCCCAGAGAAGCGTGGCTGCCCCATCCCTGGAAGTGTCCAAGGCCAGGCTGGACAGGGCTTGGAGCAGCCCGGTGTAGTGGAAGGTGACCTTGCCCATGGCAGGGGACTGGAACTACATGGTCTTTAAGATTCCTTCCAAGCCAAGCCATTCTGTGATTCTGTTAAAAAATTTGGGCTCAGAGTGACTCTGAACTCCACATTTGGGCCTCAGAACATTGAAAAGATGGGTTGAATAAAGTGGGTTTGGTGTATTCATTGTGACTAATAGAATAACCTGCTTAATATATTTTATACCATGCCTATATATATGAAATTTTACATCTAAGATAGTGATTAAATGCTGTGCAGTCCCACTCTGTGTATCAAAGGGGTTGTGACTCCTTGAGATGTTTGTGACTACAGGGAGTACTGAATGTTTACCTTGTCAAGGCATAATAATGCAGCTCTGCACCTCACCTCAGTTTTCTTGCAGATGATGTCTCAGCAAAGCTTCTGTGTACAGGTAGTCTTCTCCATATAGTTCTACCTCTCTGCTTCCTGGGAAAGCCAGTAAATGTGCAGCAGGAAAAGGGCAGCTTTGGTTAGAAAGCTTAACTTGTGCATAAAAAAATGAATGTTTTATGGTATTAAGCAAATTAGTAATTTGAAAAGAGAGTGGTTGTTGCTTAATATGTCCAGATATGTTACTTTGTGTTCGTATGATGGTGTTTTAATGTGGTTTACAATTCTGTTGTTAATAAGAAGACTCCAAATTTTGTTGAACAATATAGGTTGGAATTTTTAAAGTTATTAATAAAATAGCTACTTAATCTTCATACAAAGCCAATAGAATTTGGGCATAGATGTCCTTTTGAACATCCCAACTTCAGAATTTAATTGAACCAATGGCCTTGATGCTGCCCTGAGGTTTGCACAAGCCATGAAGAATTCCAGGGAGCTCAAATTTACCATATTTATTCCTGTAAATGTTTATCAAGAACAGTTTAGGGAAGGAAAACTTGCATAAAGATTCCTATAATGTGCCTACAGCAAACCCACTTGTCCATGGACATGTGTCCAGACATCTGGGAATGTGCATCCATTTCTCAGGGTGCAGTGGGTGACAGAAGCCATTTTAGAGTAAGTAAGTTCTCAAAACTGGAAAGAACCTACTTCAGATACTTCAGAAAAGAACCACAGATCTGAGATCTTTCAGTGTCCTGAGTATTATCAGAAGTATAAAGGAAATATTAAACATACTTTGTGTTGTTTTGGGTGTATTTGCTTTGACTCTTCTGGCACTTTAACTGCACTTTATCTCTTTGTGGATCTGAGTTTCAGAAATGAGTGTCACCAAGTGTTTGATGCTAGATCAAAGGAGGTGTTTTCAGAACTTAAATACATGTTGGAGCAACAAAAGCCACATTCACAGTTTTCTAAAACCCAAATAAACTTTTTTTAAGATCAGCAGGGATGGGTTGGTTAGCTAATACTTTTTCCATCATGAGTGTAAGACATAATTCAGATTGCTTGTTTTCCTTAATGCTTGTACAGTATACTTAGCAGGAATAAATAATATGGGATAGCTGTTGTGTATTATGGTATAATTTGTCTCTGTGTTGTGAAGAAAGTCTGAAGATTAGTCACTTAAACTGGGGAGACATATTCAGTTAGGAAAAAAATATTATCACTTACCACTGTTATGTCTCAAAGAAAGAAATAATTACTCAGTGTGCAGTTACACATTACTTCAGGAAATTGTCAGGATGGAGATTTTCTTAGATTGGCATTTATGAAGACTGGCAGGGCCTGGTAACTGCAATGTTGATGGGGTTGACAGATTTTAAGTTTGCCTGTGCAGTGTTGACCCACTTGGAGCTGTTTAGATATTTCCAATAACACTTTTTTTTTCTCCCCACTTTGGAGAAGAGTTCAATATCTGTGAGAAGGGTTTGGGTAAGAGTTCAGTCAAGTCAGTGTTTTATTGCAAGTGTTTGTTTGTTGGCCCTCGCAGTCCTGTGCAGTGACTCCTCTGCTCCTTGCCCGGGGTAGGAAGCAGTTCTCCTTGCCTTCAATCTCCTACCGCTGCTTGTTCATAATTCCTGTTAGAACTCCCTTCTCCAGTCTTCTCCAGTGTCATTTTGAGTGCATTTTATGTTATTTCAGCCAAAATGATGCTGTGCTGTAACAGGAATGCCTGAAGCCTTTCCCCTGAGCCCTAGTTCAAAAGTAGGAAGTTTTCAATACAATTTGATTAGATTTTGCTTTTCTTTGTTGGAAGTTATAATGCAGTGGTTTGGAGATCTTTTAAAATTTTTCTTCCCACTGTGGCATAAGGAGGATTACAGGTTGCCAGAATGAAATTGTGCTGTGTTTTCTACCATGGTTACAGCCTTTGTAATGAAATGTATAGATGTACCCTGCTCTGTTTTTATTAGAAGTTGGAAATAATCTTGAGGAGTGCTTAGTTCTATTTAGTTTTATGACATTTTTATGTTCTTGTCAGAATCTACCATAACAGTTGCTTAACAAGGAATTAAAATCTCAGGGTTCCTAATTCTGCTCCTCTTTAACTGATAAAATGTCCATAAACACACAGTGTGGGGCATCACCTTATATCCAGAAAAGAAGCACTGAGACCTGATTCTTGAAATTATGAAGGTGCAACTGAAGAGTAATTTATACCAGGTATTTTAGGAATTTATACCAGGTACTTTAGGAATTTTTTAAGTATTTAGGAATTCATACAACGTACTGAAAATGGAAGTGCCCAAATGGGTTAGAAAACCAATAAGCAAAACTTCTACTCTTTCTTCCACTAATTTATATCTATCAGCTTCAAGCTGATCTAGGCTTGAATTTAATGTTGGTTTCCCAGTTTCCCATGCCCAGCAAGGTCTTATATCAGCCCTTTCTGTTTCAGGATGAGGAAAACATGAACTGTACCCATCACCCAGCAATTCCTGAGTGATGAAATGAGAAGCCCTGTTGGGCAGCTCTGGTTTAATTAGCACAGCTTTGAGTCAGCCCCAAACCAAGGAGCACAAAGTTTGCTATAAGCCAATTTTGTACCATTTCTTTCCGTGCCCACATGACAGAAATCATAAAAAAGGAAAGAAGAAGGATGAGCCACGTAGAAGATAATGAAGGTATAATTTCCTAACAAAGCAGCTTGGACCACTAAGGCTGGGCAGTCACAAATCCTGCTCAGTTATTGGAAACAAGTGACAACTTTCCAGTAACGGCTTCAAAGCTGTCATCTGCCTTCTGGATGTTCAGGAGCTTCTCACTGTGTGCCAGGGAGGTTACCCCAGGACACATCTTCTGATATCCCATGGCATTATGCAATGCACCCATCACATTGCATCACCAGTGAAATGCTGCTCAGATCATGTCTCTCCCTCGCATTAAAGCTGAATGACAAAAAGGTTGAAATTCTACAACGAGAATAAACGGATTCCCACTGGTCTTCTTTCTGTACTGGTTTGAAAAGCTTGGGTAAATGGAGATGGAAGTATCTCATCTTTGTTGAAACCAGCAATCTTAAGGAACAGTTAGGCAAATTGAAACCTTCACCTCTGGAACCTCCTCAGTGTTTCATTTTACAAAATTCTGGTGGAGAAATAAGATCTCCTAAAGATCTGGTGTTGTAGAACAGCCACTTGAATATTATTTTCCTTACTTACTATCTTCCTGCAGTGTTTGTGTGGGTGTTTGCATCCTGTTTAGCTTTCCCATCTCTCAAGCAGTTCAGGTTTCTCCTGGGAGACTTTTTGCATATTCCAGTGCCCCTCATTCTTCAGACTTTAATCGGTAACATTTTGATGTCATGAGAAGACATGATAGGATTATCAAACTATAAAAAAAAAATCAACTTTTTTTTCATTATAGTCCTTTTATGCCTGAATGGAGAGAACCTTCAGGTGATGGTGATCATCGTCATCTCAGATGATCCCAGTGTAGTACAAGATCTACTTCTGTGGCTTTTTTTGCCATTTTTTTGGTGTCTTACTACTACATTCTGTGCTTCTCTTTTCTGTGTAATGCCTGTAGGGAATTTCAGCAGTGACTTGCACAGTGAAATAGCAGCAGTGAATTATTTAAAATAGGTATAGTCACTTTAGCATGATTTAATAATTAAAACCCTCTTTTAAGAAAAAGCCACTCCACAGAGAGAATCGAGAGCCCTCGTTTGAGATCTGGTGGCTCTGCCCAGGAGCCCTGAAGTTTTTGGATTACCATGGAATTGTCAGCTCTGATGGGTACAGGAAGATCCTCTCAAGTGTCTTGAAATCTCTAGTGTCTCGTTTGCTTTTTTATCACTTCCTAAATTCAGACGTAAATTATCACTGCACATTCAGATCATTAAAAAATACTTTTCTTTCCATTGCTCTCTTCCATTTATTAAGTAAGTATAATTGTTTAATAATGTAAGCTAATTTAATAACCTGAATGTGTAACTTTAAATATTTTATTAACAAATCCAGGCTTTTAAATATAAAATGTGGAACACTCACTCTTGCTGTGTACATGCACACAAATATCTACCTAGAAAAGCCTATGCCTGGCTTTTTATTTTCCTCATATGTAGGTATAAATCCCTGAGAAGCCCGGTGTAAATTGTGTTCTTAGCTTTGCATTACAAACGGCTTCATTTAGGAAACCACGCCGAGAAAGGTATTGCCTAAGGAGGTAAAAATATTTTATTTCCTGAGAAAACAAAGCGGTTGCTATGGGACAGAAAATCATCTAATGATGGCTTTCACAGAGACGTGCAACTGGCTGGA